ACACGACAATCGAAGTGTTTGACGACTTCCTTGCTGTCAAAAAATTTCTTGGCAAGAGTGGTTTTCCCTTGCCCTCCCATTCCAACCACAGAAACTACAGTGCGCTCATCCATTCCCTTTACCAATCAATCAATCTTTTTCTTGGTGTTATACCCCAAAATTTGTCCAAACTTTTTTGTTTACTTGCCTTATGTTTCATTTCATTTTTTAACATTTGTATCTGCATAGCATTGTCTTTTGCAGGAGATCAAGGGAGGTGTGTCATTCAATAGAAGGTCATCAAGGGTATCAAGCTCAACCAAGAGTGCTTACTCAAGTTATCCAGTGCTTACAATCATCAAGAAGTGGTCAAAGCTCTTTGAGAGAGAAGATTGACAAGTGTTGTTTACCTCCTATCTTGGGGGTCAATTGAGGATCATCATGGGTTCACATGGCCATGTTTATGGACAAGAGATTTTGGAGAATCTCATTGAGTGCTTTTGAAGTCATTGGAGAGCTTATCTAAGGGGTCATATCATTTGCAAGAGGTTGCAGTCAAAGTTTGTGCACCTATGATTTCATCTGCTTAGTGCAAGGTCAACTGTTGGCTTAAAGGAGTTGGAGACTTGGTTCCAAGTCATTGGAGTCATGGGAAGTTATGTTGAGACATCTAGGATGTCATATCAAGTTCAAATCAAGAAGAATCAAGAGTCTGAGGAGTTACTAAATTAGGGTTTCAGAGGATCTCAGTGTAAAATCCCCTTCTTTAGGAGCTAACTTCAAAGACAATTTACCTCACGATACAAGTTCAATATCATTTTTTTTAAAACATGAGACTTGTAGGGCATGTTCTAATCTTTCTTTTGAGTACTAGAACTCATCCATTGGGTTTGTGGAACTCAAGTTATGATGCCATCAAGTTATGGATCTTAGATGAACATATTTTTCAGTCAACAAAAGTCAACTTACTTCCAAGGAACTTTTGACCAAGAATCATGTTTCTTCTCAACTTTTGATGAACATGAAAGTTATTCCTCATGATCTTAGATTTCCAAAAAGTCCTATAAGCCTTTCATATCATTTGTGGAACTCAAGTTATGAAGCTTACAAGGCAAGAGTATTTTGGAAAACTTTGATTATAGGCCATTTTGATTATTGTTCATGCTCATGCACTTAAGTACTTCAAATGGAACTTCAACCAACATGAAAGTTGTCCCAAATGACTTCAATTTCATCATAAAACTCAATATTGGCATGAATTATGGGTGATTAGGGACATTGGTGGAGAAATTCAAGTGAAAATTGAACTTGAAATCATGATTTCAATTGATGTGGTTATAGGACTTTTTCATGCCATATTTTGATTCAATCTTGTTCACATTGATCCAAAAAGTAAAATGCACCAATTTACTTTGGTCTTGGCTAGCAAAAACATATGGAAATTAGGCTTACTTCACAAAGAAGTTTGTCATTCAAACTTCATAATTCGACATTGTACAAAGCCCAATTCAATTCCATGTTGCAATTCAAGTCACAAGCTGCAAAACCAAGCAAATTCCATGTGTGTATGCAACCATAATCACATGGGCATGAGCACATGCCAAGTTTTGGGCATTTTTTAAATTCAGTCAAACCAAGCTTCATGAGCCTCCAATTTCCTCACATATCCATAATATAAAAGCTCCAAGTTCATTTTGAGAGCTCAGAATTGCATTTTCGTGGAAGGAGCTCAGAATTCAGTTTTGAAATTCAAGAGAAAAATTCAAAATCGTGAACTCAGATCCAGAGAAATTCAAAGAAAATTGAAGTGATATCTCTTCCTCAAGCTATTTGGAGTTGATATGCATGTTTGCAAGCAAGCTTGACATCAATTGAAGCACCAACGAAGTGTCTCCGTTAGGTAATCTTCTTCTCCAAATTTCTCTCATGTTAGGCACTTAAAAAGGATCATGTTGGCTGCATCTGAAGCCCTAAACCATGTAGGCAATGTTTGATAGCTTAATTGTGATGTTTGATGAAATTTTCAGTTGTGCACTCCAAACTTTCACCGTTCGATTCTCTTCATATATGCATGTTTAAAACAAATGAGCACTGGATTTGGATTGTGCGTGAGTAGACCTTCATTTTGATATGAAATTTTGCACGTTTTAGTGAAGTTTGCAAACCTGAACTCCGGCCACCTCGCCGAAGAAGACGACCGGAGCTAGGGCTCCGGCGTCTGGTTCAAACTCAGGCAAGCTGATGTGTTTTTGTTTGACTCGTTGACTGGCTGTGATGTGTGGCTGAGATTGTTTTGACTGGCCTGCGTGGAGGGTTTGAATGCCACCTCATTTAGTTAAACGGCGCATTTTGATTAGTGGTTGATTTGTGTTTGGTTTGGGCCTTGTTTGCTATTTGCACACCCTGGCTGATCAGCCCATTGGATTACCATGTAGTTTGTTGCTATTTGCACCTTTTCATTTTAATTGTTTTACTTTATTTTCTTTTCATTTCTTTTTTGATTTTTGACTTTTAAAAATAGTTCCAATCATGATAAAATTCAACCAAAAATATTTTCTGACACTTTAATGTGTTATCTAATTTTTGATGATTTTTAACTTTATTTTACATTTATTTTTCAATTAAAATTGAATTTAATGATTGGAGGTATTTTTGAATTGTTTTTCACTTGTTCCTTTGTGTTTCTTGCTTGATTCTTGAGCCATTTGATACCACCTATGAATGAGACTTATTCCTCATTTCAATGATGAGTTGAGGTGTCTTAGAGGATGGTTTTGGTCCTGGTTTGACTTGTTTTTGTTTGACTTTCAAGTCCATTTGTTTGACCCTCGACAACCCTCCTTCAAAGTGGAGCACCCTTAGTGAATCAATTTCTTTGGTGATGCTTTGAGTGGACTTTGGTTGTGTTTCTTTGGCCTCTGGTTGTCAACATCTTTGTGAGCTTTGTGAATTTTATTTGGATTTATTTAAACTATTTTCCTATTTATGGAGTACCTTGCAAGTCAAGCTACCCCTAAGGAAGATTCACACACACACTTGACCTAGTTTTGAGGGGAAATGACCCTTGTGGATCCCATATGCTTCCAAATCTTTTTGACTCACATTTCTAACATGTTGAGGTGGCTGGTTGCAAACTTTTAGGTCTTTCACTTGCTTGGTTCATGTTGCAAATTGCATTTGTTTAAGGCTTTCCATTTGATGTTGAATGTTGAAAGTGTTTAGAACCTATGTTCTTTACCATGCCTCATCTTGCAATTTTCTTTGGCTTGCTTTCTTTTTTGGATTGCCTATCCTCTTATCTTGTTCTTACTTCTGTCCTAGGATCTTGGGGACTCATCCAAGTTGATTTGGTGCCTCTTGGGTGCACTTTGAGTTTGACTTGGATGAGAGGCCATTTTGAGAACTTCTTCTGTTCTTTTCTTGCATGATCATGGTGATGCCTTTAGTTGAGTTTCATTTTGTGTTGCTTGTTACCCAAGCCTTATCTCCCATCCTCACATTGATCATGTCTTCCTCTTCTTCTTGTTTTCTTTGCTTTGGTTAGTGATTGATGTACAAGTGGTTGTAGGAATTCTATTTCTCCCATTTCATCTCACTTTTGGCTTGAACTTGTTTAAGTTCTTTGGTTTTCTCTTTTTCTTTGTTTTGCATCTCTTGTTTGCATTTAAGAGGTTGAGATGTGATTGTGGTGGCTACTGCCCCATATTTTGTTCCTCCCTCTTCCTTCATCTTTGTTTTGCATTGCATGTTTGCATTCTTTCTTCTTTCACTTATGCTTTCCTCTTCTTCTTCTTTTGTCTTCCTTTGCCATGTTCCCTTAGGACCTCTAATCCTTCTTGTTCAAGATGGATTATGATAGACATTAGGTTTGAACCATGCATGATAACATTAGGGTAGCTTTCCCTTTTCATCCCAATCAGAGGTGTACTTTGCATGAGAATATTAGGTTGAGTTTAGTCTCCTTTTTAGAGTGTGTCTTCTCTTCTCATCTCAAAACACTTTCAAGACACATAATAAAGGATAATGAGTGTTGTACGCTACGAGCCTTAAGCATTTGGGAAATGATGATTGGGGGGCCTCCTCTCAATTGTCTAGAGTGTTTAGCGTATGTCCTTTGAACGATATGCGACGCATTCGCTCCTAAGTCATAGTTTTTAGTGCAACATGAATTAAAAACAAAGTTCAATTCACTTCTTCTTCTCTAAAAGACTTCAAAAAACAAACATCAAATCTTTTTATCCTTCGGGATTATTGGAAACCATTTTCATAAAGAGAATTTTGTTAACTCTTGGTTCTACCACAAACAGGTAACGTCTAAGTCTCCAATGGTCGAGCTGCATACACCTAACTGATAGAACTAAGTTTTAACCCTACTCGGGTAAAACATTTGAACCAACCTGTGGTCGTGTTAGGTCGAACTACGTTTGCTCTGATTTCTCGTACCAGACGGGGATACGTAGGCACAAGACGACGAAGTCTTGGCGAGCAACCTTCCCCACTTTCACCCGTAGTTTTCCGAACTACATTGACTCTGACTTTCCCATTGCACAAGGGAGTACGTAGGCATAGAGCGGCGATGCTCTATCGAGTCTCTTTTCTTTTCTTTTGTCCCTGAGGCATGTAGATTAGATAGATAAACACCCTTTTAGATAGACAACAAGCGTGGATCCCGTCGAGTACGACGGATGTGAGGGGTGCTAATACCTTTTCCTTGCGTAACTGACTCCCGAACCCAAGATTTGGTTGCGATGACCTGTCTTTTTCCTTTTTTCGTAGGTTTTCTCTGATCGTTTCCTTTCCCCCTCTTTGGGATAAATAACGAACGGTGGCGACTCTTCTTTCTTTGTCGGCCCCCCTCTTTACAGCGATGCAACACTTGGTACTTCAAAACCCACAACTTCAGATTCTTCAATGTAAAGAGCAGCCTCACGAGGGTCGTACCATTTGGAATTTCGGCTTTCTCTAGAACTATTTGATCTTTGTTCTAAAGAACGTTGGAAGCCATATCTTTCACTTCTTTCCTAGATCCCACGAATATATGACTTAACGCCTTGAATTTCAGACGTTATTCGACGGCGAGGGATCATAGTTTTGAGCTTATGGATTAAAGCTACACATTTAGGATCACGAGCCTGCTGTCTCGCCTGGATCAAATTATCATCAATGATATTTTCAACGCGAAAAGCTGCTTCCCTAACCTGTTTTGCCCAAATTTTGACTCCTTCACTAACGTTGTCTCCTTCAGCTGTTTCGGCTCTTTTATCAGCATCCTTAAGGAATGCTTGAATGCTCTCGAGTTCATCTTTAATGTCTGCAAACTCCTTGTGAATACCTCTCAAAAGCTTGGCTTCTTCCCTTAATAAAGGAAGTAGTTGGTCAACAACGAAAGACACCACCATTTCCGCCATTTGAATTATGCTCTGATTATTGATGTTTTTTATGTAAAGACTACACGGTATTTTTTGCTTGAGACCTTGTTTGCACAATTTCTATTCTTATATAAAAAGGGAATAATATAACTTTGGAGTAAGGTAACTTCTATTATGAAGAAAGGAATAACGTAACTTCTATTATTAAGTAACAAAGAAAGAAGACAACTTTTATCATGAAGAAATGAATAAGGCAACTTCTATCATTAAGTAACAAAGGAATAAGATAACTTTTATCATGAAGAAAGGAACAATGTAACTTTCATCATGATGTAGCAAGGAAATTTGATGTTTGAGCTAAACTTCCTCCCACTCACATCATATTCAATCAAGTAATGGTTGCAAAAAGATTCAAGTTGAAAACTATGCATCTTAAAACAGTTTTTCATTAATATAGTTGAAAAGTCATAGATAGCATAAATTATGATTTTCTCTTCCTTCTATCGAAAAGTACTTTCTCAAAAACTAATTCAAAATAGCTATTTCACTTTCTACATAAAAATGATTTTTGAGAGCTGCCTACACAAATAGGAAAATTGAGATTTGAAAGGAAGTGCTATTGGAAGCACCAAATAATAAACAACAAATAGTAGGCATTTGATCAAACATGTGGGGTGTGTTTGAAAATGAATAAGGAACGCCAAAAACAATTTGAATTATCAATCCAAAGATATCCCGAATTTTGAGTGCTACAATATTGACAAGATAGGAAGAATTAAAATCTTATTAATGGTGCACCCGTTCCACAACATAAATGTGTTTTTGGCTTCTGATTGCAAGAATGAGGGTCCTTTTTATAAATGATTTTACTATTATATATTTGTGTTAAGAAAATATTTTAAATATTTTATAAAAAATTAATTTAAACAGTCAACTAAATTGATATAGATTTGCTACATTCTTTTTATTCACTTTTATATGAGAAAATTAGTTGATTGATTTTTATTCATTGGGTATAGATTTAATTTAATTTAAATATTGGAATAGTTGTTTGTGCAAGAATATCAAGGGTATAGATTTGCTACATTCTTTTTATTCACTTTTATGTGGGAAATATCAATGACTTTTCCATTCATTTATTATCATGTGGGATGTACGAAGATCATTTATATAACGTTGGACGATATTGAACATGTGTTAGACGTGTGGGCTGCCTTGCTAGATATAGAGATATCCTCGGAGATGAGTCGCCCACTACACTCCTTGATAGAGCGAGTTCATGTGAGTCAAGGATGAGAAAGTAGCCTTAAGACTTTATGCATTTTGCTAAGTCACAGAGGACTTTATATACCCACCTTAAGGGCAATGCTAAATCATCACATTTTTACATATTAGCAGTTCAAAGACCTCTTCCTTGACAGATCGAATATAGTATCACTTTTATTGTACAAACAAAAGTGCACTTGGCGCCCCATGGGCCCCTAGTAAAATTGACACGGGTAACACCTTTCTAAGAGTTTTTGTTAACCTTGTCATCATTTTTCAATGGTGGTCACACATAGTTCTTGCGACTAGGAAGCCATGGCACAAATATAAGTCGACATGGAGGAACTGTGCCAACAGAGTGAGGACCTGCATGTATATGTCCAGTCTATTCAACAACGACAAGACGGCGACCAACAAGAAGGTGTAGAGGTTTTGGATCCCCACCCCTTATCCCCTTATCGGTCTAGATAATCATGGAAAACTTTAAGTTGCCCACATTGGTAACATTTGATGGGAAAACGGTCCTCAAAATCATATTATCGCTTTGACACGTAGATGGCAATCATATGTGTGACAGACTCACTAAAATGCAAACTTCTTTTCGCAACATTGAAAGAGGCAAACTTACTATGGTATATGAAGCTCCCCAGGACGTTCATTATAACCAGCTATCAGGACTTGTCCATGAAACTAATCTATTAGTTATTGACTATTAAGCACTACAATATCCCACTAGAAGCCTTTTCAATGTATACGTTAATAATACTTCAAACCCTTTACGCGAGTACCTAACGCATTTCAACGAAGCTACCACCAAAGTGGTAAACTTTATTGACGATATCTTTGTTTGGCCTTCCAGAATAGGCTTAAGTTTTGTTATTTCAATGAGTCCCACACCCAAAAAATACTACAGATTTAAAGGAGTAGATAATATTGGACAAGTGATTCCAAACATAAAAGGAGTAAAATGTGAAGGTTTGAAAAATGAATTCCTATAGCAAAATAAATTAAGAAAAAGATAATCAGTGTAAAGAATAGAATTAAATATAGCATAAATAAATAAATAAATAGTATAATAATAAAGAGATAAGGGCTGAGAGAACTGCGCTAGAAAACTATACAGCTTCAGCGTAATCATTTTTTATCTGAATATGTTTCCATCTGCTACCAACAAGCCTATTTATATCCCCAAGAGTTTCCTCTTGAGAGTTTTCACTATAATCTAAATGTGAGTTTTTTCAAGGTTATGCCCACGAACCTTACAACCAAACAAGAGTATTACAATGGTTATCCTTCAAAGAAAAAACTAGATTTTACACCAAGATAATCTCAAAACCAAGTAGAACTTTTACACTAGGCAAAGTTCAAAATCAAATGTAGATTTTAACGGATAATCTCACAAACCAAACGAGAGTTTTTACACTTATTTGAGCTCACAAACTGAACAAAGATTTTGGTTGGATAATATCATAAACCAAATCGGATATTTTGACTAGTTTAGCTCATGAACCAAACAATAACTTATCACAATAGATATTACACAAAAGGCAAAGTTTTGTTGTGTGAATTACAAGAATATTCCTAATATGTGAACAAAAACTCTCACAAGTATATTTTAATCTTAAAAAACTAAAGCAGATGTAGTGAAGAAGGAAAAAGAGTGAAAAAGAAAGTGGATAATGAGAAAGCATATTAGAAATATGTTTTTATTTTATTATTTTGAAATGAGAAGAGATCCTCTAATTATTAGATGAAAAGTGGATCAAATGAGCTTAATAGATTAAGCACTAGGTTAAGACGAGACCCTACCATATTATTGAACCATTTATCGAGCTTAACCTGAACCATATTTAATTTTTTTTAAGGGGCCAAAAATATGTTTCCACCTACTACCAACAAGCCTATTCATGTCCCAAAGAGTTTCCTCTTGAGAGTTTTCACTATAATCTAAATGTGAGTTTTTTAAAGGTTATGCCCACGAACCTTACAACCAAACAAGAGTATTACAATGGTTATCCTTCAAAGAAAAAACTAGATTTTACACCAAGATAATCTCAAAATCAAGTAGAGCTTTTACACCAGGCAAAGTTCAAAATCAAATGTAGATTTTAACGGATAATCTCACAAACCAAATGAGAGCTTTTACACTGATTTGAGCTCACAAACTAAAAAAAGATTTTGGTTGGATAATATCATAAACTGTAATACCCCAAATTTTACCCTTAGATTAGTCGCCTCATTTCGCATTCCATCTCATTTTGCATTTGCATTGTAACTAATCGCTGACCAGTTTGCTCAGTCCATTGGTTTTGCAGGAAAAATCACATTGTGTGCAGTTTAATTGGTGAAGGGCAAAATGGTCATTAATGTGCATTTTGCTAACGATTGATGAAGCAGAGTGTCAAGTAAAAAAGTAAGAGAATCAAGATAGTGCTCTCGCATATGTCTACTATGGATCAAAGCTTCTATTACAAGCTTCAAGTGATGACGATGTTCAAAGCAAAGGTATAACAAATATTACTTGAAAATATCTATACAAGTGTTCATAAATTCACATTTCAATTCACATATACCACAAACACTTTTAAAACCATTTTGAGTTACTCACTCTTGTTAAAAATAATTCTTTTAGAAAAACCTTCAGTGTTAATCGATTAACACATTTGGTTAACCAATTAACACATTTCAAAATTAATTTATTTGTGATTTTATTACAGTGTTAACAGATTAACCTATATGGTTAACCGATTAACATGTGTAAATTTTGAATATTTTTAAACGTTGTAAGGTGTTAACCGATTAACCCATTTGGTTAACCGATTAACACTGAAACAGCAAGCAAAAATGGCAGCTTTTCATGAAAATATGTACTGGTTACTATTTTTATTTCTGACAGTTTTTGCTGGGAGATCTACATCAGCATGGTCGGATCGAGATAGATATAGCCGACCTAGAACAGTTGCCCTCAAGACTTGTTGGGAGTCCCAGATACCTAGAAGTTTTTTAGTAGCTGCGGACGGTTTTATCGAAGCCATATTTCGGATACTTTTTAGAATTGAAACGTTTAGAGTAAATTGCAGAAGCAATGAAGGAAAAGCACATTTAACGCTTCCTTGTCACTGATTCATTGTCATTTTAGTTGCTATCGTGTCATCTTAGGTATGCGAGATAGGAACCAATTACACTCTCTAAGGTACTCAAGTTTTTTCTATCCTCGTGCGAATTGATGGGATAAAATCCTAGTTACCCTCAGATTTTCCCTTCGTTTCTTGATCTGAACTATTGATTTTTATTTTTCCCCCTTCTTATAAGAGTGTAGGCGTTGCTCCTAGACTTCTTGTTCCTGTTATTACCATCTTCTTGTTTATTTTCTTTGTATCACTCTACTTCATTTAGTGAACCTAGTTCTTTGCTTGAACGATTTGTCTGATGGTGACGATCATGGAAGAAGATTATTCTTGGGTCAAACCATAATGTTTCGCTTATAAATCCGCTTTCGTTCAAGGGAAAGAAATTTTATCGGCTCCATTAAAAATAGGAGTTCCCTCCAATTGGGCCATTTTTTCAGTTTCGGCCAAGAAAAGGGTATTCTACAAGTTTGAAGGGTGTTATATTCCTTTTTACTCTTACATTTTTTGGTAGTTAGGCATTCGTCTTCTGCTCACCTAGTTCAAGAAGAAAGGTTTATACCATCTTCGCATTTCTCCTTTGCAACCCCATCTATGTTTTTGTTTGAGTATTTCAATATTGGTCTGAGTATCATAGAAAGGCGG